CTGCCCAAATCCTGCCCAATTCCTGCCCAAATCCTGCCCAATTCCTGCCCAATTCCTGCCCAGTTCTCACTCAATTCCTGCCCAAATCCTGCCCAATTCCCAATTCCTGCCCAATTCCTGCCCAAATCCTGCCCAATTCCTGCCCAAATCCTGCCCAAATCCTGCCCAATTCCTGCTCAGTTCTCACTCAATTCCTGCCCAAATCCTTCCCAATTCCCAATTCCTGCTCAATTCCTGCCCAATTCCCACTCAATTCCCGCTCAATTCCTGCCCAATTCCTGCCCAATTCCTGTCCAATTCCTGCCCAATTCCTGCCCAATTCCTGCCCAATTCCTGCCCAATTCCTGCTCAATTCCTGCTCAATTCCTGCCCAAATCCTGCCCAATTCCTGCCCAATTCCTGCCCAGTTCTCACTCAATTCCTGCCCAAATCCTGCCCAATTCCCAATTCCTGCCCAATTCCCGCTCAACTCCTGCTGGATGTGTCTGCGGGCAGGATCAGGAATTAATTCTGGAGAAAATCCTCATTAATTAGAAAAAGGCAAATGCGGAGGAATTGGGTGAGGGGCGTTTCATGGGTGTCTCCCCCGGAATTCCCGGGCCGGAATCCTGATCCTATAAAAGATTCCCTGCTCCGGTTTGGATGGGATATCCGGAATTCCCAAACCCTCCCCTGGAGCGTCCGGAGCTGAGACCCCCCCAGAAGTGATGATCCCTGCTCCGGAATTCCGATCCGGGAGCCTCTGGAATCGCTTCGGGATGACGGGAGCAGCAGGGGGGTGGTTTTGGGTTTTGGGGTTTGGGATTTCTGATTCAGAGCCGAGGCAGCCCTGGGGTTCGGGGCCGTCACCGAGGGTGACGTCGGAGGTGGCACCGAGGGCTCCGTGTCCTGCGTGTCACCGACCTCAGACGAGGCGTGGGGACCTCGGCCGGGCCCCGGCGGCGCCGAGTGGGGACAGGGATGGATGGGGTGAGGAATCCCGGTGGTCCTGGCCTCACCCCGCGGGAGGGGTCCACATCCCGGCTGGAAAAGTGTTCCGGGACAGCCTGAACCTGGCATTCGGTGACATTCCTGGGATGAGGCAACGACAAGGCTCCAGGCACGTCCTGGTGGCACCGAACCCCCTTTTCCCGACAGGGTTTTCCCCAAAAATGCTTTTCCTGAGGAGAATCCGCCGCAGGATCCATCCCTTGGGCTGGATCCTGGCAGGAATTTGGGCAGGAAGGGGACAAATCCCGATCCAGCCTGGCCTTGGACGCTTCCAGGGAATCCGGGGAATAGCTCAGGGCCAGGGAAGGGTTTATCCCAAATATCCCATCCAAACTGGGATTCCAAGGAATCCTGGAATGGTTTGGGTTGGAAGGGACTTTGAAGATCTTTAAAGATCCAAGGGACGCCTCCCACTCTCCTGGGTGGATCCAGCCTGGCCTGGGACACTTCCAGGGATGGGAAATCCATGGAATTCCCTGAGCCAGGCCCTCACAGAGAACAATTCCTTCCCAAAATCCCACCCAGATTCCCCCCTGACCCCATTCCCCGTAGCCAGGCCCTCACAGAGAACAATTCCTTCCCAAAATCCCACCCAGATTCCCCCCTGACCCCATTCCCCGTTTCCTGTCCCTGCAGTTCCTGAGGAAAAATCCCTCTCCAGCTTCCCTGGAGCCCCAGCAGATCCTGGGAGCTCAACATTCCCAGTTTTCCCAACATTCCCAGCCTGGATCCACAGGGAAGCTTCTCCAGCCCCTGGATCCACTCCATGATCTCCTCTGGACTCGCTCCAACAATTCCACGTCCCTTCTACGCCGGCACAGAATTCCCGCTGGGATCCCACCAGAGCGGGAGAATCCCCTTCCCCACCCTCCTGCCCAAATTGGATCTTTAATGGACCTTCAAAGTCCCTTCCAACCCTTCAAACCATTCCAGGATTCCCTGGAATCCCAGTTTGGATGGGATATTTGGGATAAACCCTTCCCTGGCCCTGAGCTATTCCACAGATTCCCTGGAAGCGTCCAAGGCCAGGCTGGATCGGGATTTGTCCCCTTCCTGCCCAAATTCCTGCCGGGATCCAGCCCAAGGGATGGATCCCGCGGCGGATTCTCCTCAGGAAAAGCATTTTTGGGGAAAACCCCGTCGGGAAAAGGGGGTTCGGTGCCACCGGGACGTGCCCGGAGCCTCGTAGCCCCGGGAACCTCACCGAACGCCGGGAAAGCGCTGCCGAGGCCAAGGGACCTTTTCCAAGGCGGATTCCCGCGGCTCCCGCGCGGCCCCTGGGCTGGCGATTCCAGACAGTTACGGGCCCCGCCTCATTTGCATAATCACCCCAAATCCACCCCAAAATTACGGCGTCCCAAGGGTGTCATTACGGCCCAGGTGGGGCCTAATTTGCGCCAGGGTAATTAAATCCCCGAGGGAAAAAAAAAAAATAAAAAAAAAAATAAAAGCCCAAAAATGAACGTTGGGGACGATCCCTGAGCTGAGTGTCCCCGAGGTTATTAATTAACCGGCGTTAATTAATTGGGCTCCTACACCCTGCGTGAGCCACGGGCGAGGCTGCGGGACGGGTTCCTGCTCCAGGTGATGTCCCCGTCACCTCGTCCCCAAATCCAGGCTCTGGAATTTTCCCCGATTTCCTCCGAGTGCTGGGAGAGTTCCTGGGGAATAAAGGAATAGTTAATTAATTTTCTGCTCGAATATTAAATTAAAAAATAAGGAGATTGTGAGGTAATTACGGCCCAAGGGCAAACAGAGGAAATTTGGTGTTAATCGACCTCTCAGCAGAGGTTTCTGTTTTAATTTTTAATTAAAATCGAGCGAAGTTGGAATTAAAATTATCCAATTAGTGTTAGGAGTTTTATCGTGATTTTTTTCAATGAAAAGTCATCAATGGACTCAAATTTCCTTGTTCAAAAAATCTGAAATTCATTTAAAAATGTGTTTAGTTTAATTTAATTCAGTTAAAATTAATTTAATTTAGTTTAAAAATTCATCACTTAAAAATGGTAATTTTTTATTTTTTATATTGGATAATGCGGCCAAATGCTCATTGATGGGAATTAAAAATAAGAATAAAACTCCCCAAGGGCATCCCAGGAGCTGAAATCAGCAGGATTTGGGAATTTCACCCAGATTTTAGGGCTGAAATCTTCTTCCCTTTGCCTGAACCAAACCTCAAGATTGAAATTCCAAAGGAAATGCACAAAAAAAAAGAGACAAAAATCCCCTCTGGAATTGCAGGACCAATTTTGTGGATCATAAAGATCTTGATTGTCCCTGATCTGCTCACCCTGAGCTCTGTCGCTGTCAGCACTTAAATTCTCCTCTGTAATTAATAAATCTAATTGAATTTAATTAATTTAATGAATTTAATCAATTTAATTAAAATACTAATTCCTATTTTTTGATGTGGTTTCGCACGCGTTAAAGACTTAACCCCCCCGCCCATAACACAAATATTTACATTAACATCCACCCTCCTCCATTTACGCTCTGGAGCCCTTCCAAGATTTCCCAAAATAAAAATAAAAAGAACAAAAAAATAAAATATGAAATGCGACCGTAAAAGGATTTTACGGGCCAGGATTTTCCAGGATTAGGCGGAACCGGCCCGGAGAGCCGCTGCTATTTCGGGGTGAAAATGATAGGGAAGGGTTGATAAAGCCAAAATAACCCGTTTGGGACTGGGCTCGGCCCAGGATGAATCAGGACAACGTCCACAGAGGGTGGCTCCTCTCCAACCCCGCGCGGGACCCTATAAAAGCAGCCCCGTCCTCCCCTGGCTCCGCACGGCTTCCCAGGAATCCCACCGGATCCCGCCGGAGACTTGGGTGAGTGGCTCTCCCGGGAATGTCCCCTCGGTTGGGAATGTTCCCCCTGTTGGGAACCTCGGGGTTCCTCTGGGGTCGGTGGGAAGAGCGGTTCCTGGTGGGGTTTTTTGGGAATATCGAGGGGTTTCTCCCCACTGGAATCGTTGGGTTGTCCATGAGGGAATACGGGAGAAGTTCTGGGATGTCCTTGGGTGTGGGGTCAGCTCCCGACTGGAGCTGGATCCCGCTGGAGACTTGGGTGAGTGGCTCTCCCGGGAATGTTCCCCCTGTTGGGAATCTCGGGGTTCCTCTGGGGTCGGTGGGAAGAGCAGTTCCCGGTGGGATTGAGAATTTTTTGGTAAAAGTTGGTGTTTTTTGGGAATATTGAGGGGTTTCTCCCCGCTGGAATCGTTGGGTTGTCCATGAGGGAATACGGGAGAAGTTCTGGGATGTCCTTGGGTGTGGGATCAGCTCCCACCGGAGAAATGGCTCCTTTTCCATGGAAATTCCGGCATTTCCAAGGGGCAGGGAGCGCTCGTGTGCCCGGTCACGTTCCGGAGGCGGGAATCGGGCACGGAGCAGCTTCCCGGGATCAGATCGGGCGCGGATGTTCCCGACGGGAGGCCTGGGGATGCCACAGGGAAGGAAGGAGGGAAGGAGGAGGCTTTGGAGGTTTCCAGGTGCAGCTTTTGAGGTCTCTGCCCCAGATCTTGTCTTGGGTTGGGTTGAGGCTCCTCTCGCCGGGATCACAGGGATGGATCCTGGGAACATCAGGAGCTCCTGGAATGAGGCCATGGAGATGCTCCAAGGGCTGGGGAGAGGTTGGGAGAGCTCGGAAAGGTTCACCGGGAGAGGAGAAGCTCCATGGAGACCTTAGAGACCTCCCTGGGCACAGAGGGGTTGGATTGGGCGACCTTCAGGGCCCATTCCAAGGAAATATTCCATGGGATAATTCCATGGGGCAGGATCTGGGGGCACCCCCTGAGTCACCGCCGCCGCGCCCCTGTCACCGTTCCCGCTCCAACGTCACCCAAACGCCTCAGTGGCGGAGCCAAAGGACACTCCCCATCCCACTAAAACCCCGGAACGCGTTCCCGGCGGGGAACTCGGAGCCGGGAATTCTCCTCCCTCTTCCCGAGGGAATCCCGCATCCCGTGCTGTGGCCCTGTCCCTCCCAGGCTCGCTCGGATCTGCAGGATGTCCCCGTTCTTGGACAGCATCGCCACCATCGTCGGCGTCTTCCAGCAGCACGCCCGGGGAGACGGGGACGGCTCCGGGCTCAGCCGCGGGAGGATGAGGGAGCTGATCCAGAGGGAATTCGCGGATTCCCTCGTGGTGAGCGCGGCCGGGAAGGGTTGGGATGCGGGAAGGGAAAAATCTCCTCCGGAAAGGGAATGGGGAGGGTTCCACCAAAGGTTGGGGTCCTTTGTGCTGGGTCTGGGGGATCCTGAGGGAGCTGGGGGGGCTCAGCCTGGAGGAAAGGGGGATCCAGGGGGAATTCCGGGATTTTCCAGCTGGGATTTGGGATCTGAGCCTAGGGAACAAGAGGGAACGGCCTCGAGCTGTGCCAGGGGAGGCTCAGGATGGGAAATTTGGGAAAATCCCTCCTGGAAGAGTTGGCCAGGCCTTGGAAGGGGCTCAGGGAGTGGCCATCCCTGGAGGTGTCCGAGGAATTCCTGGACGTTGGTTTGGGTGATGGATCCCGGCTTGGACTCGATGATTTTGGAGTCCTTTCACAAAATCCTGGGATTTTGTGACTGCTCCCACAACTTTTCCAACCCATTTTGCCACCAAAAAAAAGTAGGGAAAAGCTTGAGAATGAGCTGGGGAATTTCCTTCATGGAAATTTATCCTGTAAAAGGAGAAATCCCAAAAAGGAAAGAGCTGCTCAGCTGCGGCCAGGGAATGACCAGGAAAACGGGGAATGAATTCCCACAGCTGCTGCTGAGCCCTAAAAGTGAAATTCTGAGAGGCAGAATGAGAATTTCTGCAATTCTTCCTATTTTTTGCATTTTCTCAGGAAGACAAAACCCCCTTTTTTCCCCCCCCATCCCATTTTATTTTTCCCCCTGCAGAAGCCACACGACCCTCAGACCATCGAGAAGATCCTGCAGTTCCTGGAGTGGGATGGGGACGGGGACATCGACTTTAACGAGTTCCTCCTCTTGGTGTTCCGGGTGGCCAAGTGCTGCTTCTGGTTCCAGCCCAGGGCCCCGTTCCTGGTGCAGAGGACGAAGCTCCCGAGCGGCGGAAAATCCCTCCGGGAGCCGGAATTCAGGAGCAGAGGGAGCCGCCGGCAGCTCCAGGAGGAGGAGGAAGATCACCAAACCCGGGAGAGGAACCGTGAAGTGGAGCTGCAGCGAGACCTCAGGCTCGGGGAGGTGGAAATCTTGGAGGGAAGGAGGAGGGAGCAGCAGGAACGTCGCGGGGAGGACGCGGAAGCGAGCGGGGAGCCGGGAACGACGATCCGGGAGAGGTTCCAGGAGGAAGAACCGGCAGACGTGAGGACGGGCAGGCAACGCCGAGAAACCCAACCGCGGGCGGACCGGTGGAGCCGCCCGGAGCCGGGGCGTGGTGAACGAAGCCAGCGGCCACGAGGAGCAGATGGAGGAGGCGACAATCGGCCACGGGAACCAGAATTGCTGCGGGAAGAGAGGAGCCGCCACCGCCGGCGAGAGCAGGAACAAAGAGAGACGGAAGGGAGAAGACGCCGGGTGGCTGAGCAGGAATGCCCGGAGTCCAGGAGGCCACACCAGGCGTTCCTGGAGGAACCGTTAGAGATGGAGCTCGGGGAATGTGGAAGAGCAGAGCCAAGGGAACGCGGATACGGGAGGAGAGAAGAGCGGGAACGGGAGCTGGAATGGGCAGGAAGGGAAAGGGAGATCCGGGAGGAGCAGGAGAGGGAAGAAAGAGATGATCCCAGAAGAAAAGGGAGAAGGAGAGAGAGGAGAGAGGATCAGGAACGGGAGCTGGAGATCTCAGAGCGCCGCAGTCGGGACAGGGAGGAACGAGAGGCTGTGATTGACCTGAGAGAGCCACGGGAGAGACGAGAGCGGGAAATTCGTGAGGCTGAAGAAGATGCAAGGAGAGAACAAAGAATTTATGAAAGGAGAAGAGAAACCTCAGTGGCAGAGACTGAAGCCGAAGTCAAAGTGCGCCGTGAGATCCGGGAGCGAGGGGAGGAACAGAGAAGAAGAGAACGACCCTGTGATGTCCCCTGTGAGGAGGAGGAAGACAGAAGAATTTGCCCCAGAAGGGAGAGGGAAGAGGCTGTGAGGGAGAGGAGAATCAACCGTGAACGAGAGCTCTGGAGATCTCAGAGCGCCGCAGTCGGGACAGGGAGGAACGAGAGGCTGTGATCGACCTGAGAGAGCCACGGGAGAGACGAGAGCGGGAAATTCGTGAGGCTGAAGAAGATGCAAGGAGAGAACGAGGAATTTATGAAAGGAGAAGAGAAACCTCAGTGGCAGAAGCCGATGTCAAAGTGCGCCGTGAGATCCGGGAGCGAGGTGAGGAACAGAGAAGAAGAGAACGACCCTGTGAGGAGGAGGAAGAAGCAGCAGGAGAAGAAGCAGAGAGAATTTCCCGGGTGAGAGAGAGGGAAGGGGCTGTGAGGGAGAGGAGAATCCATCGGGAACGGGATCTGGAGGTCTCTGAGCGCCGCACTCGGGACAGGGAGGGAGAAGCCGTTGACAGAAACCGGAGAGAGCCACGGGAGAGACGAGAGCGGGAAATTCGTGAGGCTGAAGAAGATGTGAGAAGAGAACGAAGAATTTATGAAAGGAGAAGAGAAACCTCAGTGGCAGAGGCTGAAGCCGAAGTCAAAGTGCGCCGTGAGATCAGAGAACGAGGGGAGGAACAGAGAAGAAGAGAACGACCCTGTGATGTCTCTTGTGAGGAGGAGGAAGACAGAAGAACCTGCCCCAGAAGGGAGAGGGAAGAGATCGTGAGGGAGAGGAGAAGTGATCGGCAGCGGGAGCTGGAGATCGCTGAGCGCCGCAGTCGGGATAGGGAGGAACGAGAGGCTGTGATTGACCTGAGAGAGCCACGGGAGAGACGAGAGCGGGAAATTCGTGAGGCTGAAGAAGATGCAAGGAGAGAACGAGGAATTTATGAAAGGAGAAGAGAAACCTCAGTGGCAGAGCAGAAGCCGAAGTCAAAGTGCGCCGTGAGATCAGAGAACGAGGTGAGGAACAGAGAAGAAGAGAACGACCCTGTGATGTCTCCTGTGAGGAGGAGGAAGAAAGAAGAATTTGCCCCAGAAGAGAGAGGGAAGAGATCGTGAGGGAGAGGAGAATCAACCGTGAACGAGAGCTGGAGATCTCAGAGCGCCGCAGTCGGGACAGGGAGGAACGAGAGGCTGTGATTGACCTGAGAGAGCCACGGGAGAGACGAGAGCGGGAAATTCGTGAGGCTGAAGAAGATGCAAGGAGAGAACAAAGAGAAACTCTGAGGTACGAGAGGAAGAGAAACCTCAGTGGCAGAGGCCGAAGCCGAAGTCAAAGTGCGCCGTGAGATCCGGGAACGAGGAGAGGAACAGAGAAGAAGAGAACGACCCTGTGAGGAGGAGGAAGAAGCAGCAGGAGAAGAAGCAGAGAGAATTTCCCGGGTGAGAGAGAGGGAAGGGGCTGTGAGGGAGAGGAGAATCCATCGGGAACGGGATCTGGAGGTCTCTGAGCGCCGCAGTCGGGACAGGGGGGCAGAAGAGCCCAGCAGGGAGCGGAGAGAAGCTGGCCAGGAGATCCGGCTGGAGGTCCTGGAGGAAGAGGAGGAGGAGGAGGAGGAGCTGGAGCGGGGATCGTGGCGGTTCCAGACCCTGGATGTGGACACCGGCAATCTCTGCCCCCCGGGACAGGAGGCGCCCGTCAGTGACCTCAGGGTCCGGTACCGCCCCGCTGACCCCGAGGCCCGGCCCGAGGTCCGGCTGCTCCCCGAGGCCCCGGAGCCTTCCACCATCGCGTACCTGGTGCACGTAATCCAGAACCGGGGTGAGCCCAAAGCCGCCACCTACGAGATCGTGTGCCACCAGCCCGGCCAGCCCTGCTCCGTGGCCCCGAGCCACCGCCCCGAGCCGCAGCCCAGGGCCACCAAATCCCAGGAAAAGCCCGAGGATGTGGATGAGCCCCGGGAAAGATCCGGGAGGGAGGTGAAGGATGGAGCCCGGGCGGAGGCTGTGAAGCCCCAGGAGATCCGGAGGATCTCTGAGGAGCAGCCCCGGGGTGAGGGGTCCCAGAAGGTCCCGAGGGAGCCCCGGAGAGAGCGAGAGGACAGCGAGGCCAAGAGCTGTGCCCCGGCTCCCGAGGCTCGGGAATGTGGGGATCCGGAGCGCAGAGATCCCGGGGAGAGCCGCGGAGAGGGAATCCAGGAGGATGAGGAGGCCCCTGAGGAGGAATCCAGCAAGAGGAGCGGCCGGGAATCCGGCAATTCCCAGGTTTCTCGGGAAGGTGGCACCAAGCAGGGCCAGGAGCCCTCGCAGGAGGCTCCGAGCCGCCCCAGGGATGAATCCAAGACATCCTGAGGGGAATCTGCCTCTCCCTGGAGCCTCTCCAGGTCCTTCTGAGCGTCACCTCTGAAGGATCCCGGGGTGTCCAGCGGGGTTTGGGGGCTTTCCCCTGGGATAAATCCTCAGCGGGAAGCGCGATCCCTCCGGATCCGGAGTTTCCGCCTCCCTGCTGGGTGTGTCCCTCGATATTTAATCACTTTTCCTGCTCTAATTGGAGTCCTTTGTCCCTTTTGTGCACCCTGGGCTGTGGCTCCAGGTCCTCCCAGCCCCGGGGCTGGGGCTCCTTCGGCTTCCGCCGCCAAACTCCAAAGAATTCCTGATTTGGGGGCCTGGAAATCCTGGAGGCTGGGAAAAACCTTTCCAGCCTCGATTCCAGCGGAATTCCAGCGGAATTCCAGCTCCAGGCTCGGGGGTTTGGAGCGGCCGCAGGGTGCTGGTGGTAGGTGGGGGATTCTCCTTCTCCTCCTTTTCCTTTTCCTTTTCCTTCCTTTTTGTCGCATGGAAAATGGGAATAAACGGCTGATTCCTGCACCGGCTCCGAGCGTCACGTTCCGGGGGGCTGGGAGGGGAGCTGGGATCCGACATTCCCAGCTTGGATCTGACATTCCCAGCTTGGATCTGACATTCCCAGTCGGGATCAGACATTCCCAGTCGGGATCCGGAATTCCCAGTCGGGATCCGGCATTCCCAGTCGGGATCCGGAATTCCCAGTCGGGATCCGACATTCCCAGCTTGGATCAGACATTCCCAGTCAGGATCAGACATTCCCAGCTTGGATCCAACATTCCCAGTTGGGATCCGACATTCCCAGCTTGGATCTGACATTCCCAGCTTGGATCTGACATTCCCAGTCGGGATCAGACATTCCCAGTTGGGATCAGACATTCCCAGTCGGGATCCGACATTCCCAGTCGGGATCCAGAATTCCCCGTCGGGATCCGACATTCCCAGCTTGGATCTGACATTCCCAGTCGGGATCCGGCATTCCCAGTCGGGATCCGGCATTCCCAGCTGGAATCCGACATTCCCAGTCAGGATCAGACATTCCCAGTCGGGATCAGACATTCCCAGTCGGGATCCGGAATTCCCAGTTCAGGTTCCAAGTTCAGCCCGGGGTTCTTTGTCCTGCTCCGAGTCCCGGTGGGAATTCCCGGGATCCCAAAACTCATCCCCATCCCTGATTTTCCCTCCTCTCTCCTCCAGGGATCCCCTCCAGAGATTTTGGGGATTTTCCCCTTTTTCCTTCTCCAGTCTCCCCCTGAAAATTTGGGGGATTTTCCCCCTTTTTCCCACCCTTCCCCTGCAGATTTTTGGGGAAAAAATTCCCCCTTTTTCCCCAGCGTCCCCCTGAACATTTTGTGATTTTTCCCCCTTTTTTCCCCCCTGTCTCCCCCTGATTTTTTTGGGATTTCCCGCCCACCCCAGGGCCCGGGAGGGTTTTTGGGAAGGGCGCGGCGCATTCCAGAGGCTCGGGAGGAGCCGCGGTTGCCGCTGGAAACGGGAATTGCCCAATTCTGACTCAGCCCGGGCGGGGCTCCCCAAGTTTTTTTTCCTGAGTTCTTTTCCTGATCCAACAATTCCAACCTCGAGCGGGTCCCAGCCATGGTGAGGGAGCCGCGATTCCCGGGAATGCGGGGAGGGTGGGAAAAGAGATTTGATATCCTGTAAAAATTGTGGGAATTGGGGTGGGGAGGGGGCAGGGAATGGTCCCGGGGGAAGGA